TCTCTCTCTCTCTCTCAGTTCAATTCAATTCAATTCAGAAAGCTTTATTGGCATGACAAAAAAAATACATTTTGTAAAGCATCAAAACAACATAGAAAATGATTTAGAACATTTAGTACACAATAATAATACTGATATCATAAAACAGTAATAATAAAATAAACAAAGATTAATAAATAAAATAAAAAGGATTTAGAAATAATTTATATAAAAAACAAAAACAAACAATATTGAACATTATATACATGTGTGTAGGTCTTAGGCTGTGAGTGAGTGTGTGTGTAGGTCTTAGGCTGAGTGAGTGTGTGTGTAGGTCTTAGGCTGTGAGTGAGTGTGTGTGTAGGTCTTAGGCTGTGAGTGAGTGTGTGTGTAGGTCTTAGGCTGTGAGTGAGTGTGTGTGTAGGTCTTAGGCTGTGAGTGAGTGTGTGTGTAGGTCTTAGGCTGTGAGTGAGTGTGTGTGTAGGTCTTAGGCTGAGTGAGTGTGTGTGTAGGTCTTAGGCTGTGAGTGAGTGTGTGTGTAGGTCTTAGGCTGTGAGTGAGTGTGTGTGTAGGTCTTAGGCTGTGAGTGAGTGTGTGTGTAGGTCTTAGGCTGTGAGTGAGTGTGTGTGTAGGTCTTAGGCTGTGAGTGAGTGTGTGTGTAGGTCTTAGGCTGTGAGTGAGTGTGTGTGTAGGTCTTAGGCTGTGAGTGAGTGTGTGTGTAGGTCTTAGGCTGAGTGAGTGTGTGTGTAGGTCTTAGGCTGTGAGTGAGTGTGTGTGTAGGTCTTAGGCTGTGAGTGAGTGTGTGTGTAGGTCTTAGGCTGTGAGTGAGTGTGTGTGTAGGTCTTAGGCTGTGAGTGAGTGTGTGTGTAGGTCTTAGGCTGTGAGTGAGTGTGTGTGTAGGTCTTAGGCTGTGAGTGAGTGTGTGTGTAGGTCTTAGGCTGTGAGTGAGTGTGTGTTTATTGGATGTTTGCTGGTCTCTGGTCGTCCCTCAGGATATGGCAGGATGCTACAAATTTTGCAGCTATATTTGAGCATTTGGCTTCTTCGCCAAGAATGAAACAGAGTTTTTGGGTTGGATTACAGGTGTTAAATTGGGGAAATATGCTATTAATTTTGGGGTAATAGTGGTCTCTAATGTGTTTATATTTTGGGCATTCTGTGAGGAAGTGCAGCTCGGTCTCCGTCACTCCCAGGGTGCAGTGCGAGCAGAGTCTGTCCTCGCGGGAGAGCCAGGTCTGTCTGCGCCGGCCCGTCTCTATGGCCAGGCTGTGCTCGCTGAGTCTGTACATCGTCAGGGTTTTCCTGAGTCTCACATCACTCACTGTGCTCAGGTAGTTCGCAACAGTGTACTCTCGATTTAGTGCCGAATAACATTCCAGTTTGTGTTGGATCTCTCTCTCTCTCTCTCTCTCTCTCTCTCTCTCTCTCTCTCTCTCTCTCTCTCTCTCTCTCTCTCTCTCTCTCTCTCTCTCTCTCTCTCTCTCTCTCTCTCTCTCTCTCTCTCTCTCTCTCTCTCTCTCTCTCTCTCTCTCTCTCTCTCTCTCTCACACACACACACACACACACACACACACACACACAAACCTGTCGTGTCGCCCTGCCCTCGTGAGCTCATGTCTGGATTCGTGGGTTTGTAAATCCAGCTGAAAGTGCTTCACCCGGTCGAGACACACACACACACACACACCTACCTGCCCTGCCCGCTGCTTTCCTGGGTTCAGCAAGAGCAAACCCGTGTTGTTTTTCCTGTGTTTCTGCACCTGGATCATCCTCCTGCCAGTCATTCAGAGCTGCCCACATTCCTGTCTTAAACACACACACACACACACACACACACACGCACACACAAACCCGTCATGCATTCAATCTGGACCAGCGCTGTGTGGTTTTTAGGCGATTTAAGAGTCTGTTGTTTAGTCTGTTCTGACGTCAGATGTGGGTGTGTAACCTTAAATTAGAGACTGAAAACGTCACCAGCATCTGAAATCTGCAGAGACCCCTCTGAATGAAGTGGGCTGCTATTTCATTTTATTGTTCATTATTATCTATCCTGCAGCGTTTGTGCTTCAAACACGAATGAATGATTCTTCAAATCATGTGTTGTTGAGGAGAGTTTGTGCTGTGATGATCAGACACAACATTTACAGTATTGGCTATTATTTTAAAAATATTTTTAGATAATTGTATTAAACTAATTACATTAAGAATAATTATTATTAGTCAAAAGTATAATTATTTTATTATTTATTAGAGCTGTCCAATCAATTAATCGCAATAAATCACATCTGACATAAAAGTTTGTTTATAATGTGTGTATTATTATACTTATGTCTACATGTGTGTGTGTGTGTGTATATGTACTGTATATATATTTTTATTTTATTGATTTATATTCACACACACACACATATATATGTATGTTACATATATACACATATTATATAAACAAACTTTTATGTTAGATGTGATTAATTGCGATTCATTGATTTGACAGCCCTGTTATTTATGTATTAAAGAATTTATTATAGTAAAAATATTCAACTTATTAAAAGAAAATGTTAGATCATTAATGTCTTTTTGAAAGTTTATTTTTTATTATTTAACATTGTTATTGTAAACAAGACATATTGTTATGACTATTATGCCACCTTATTATGTCTCTTCCCCCCCATTGTCATAATATATGCTTTTGTATTGTTGCTTTGGAAATATAATTTGTAAACTGCACAATGAGAAAAGAGCAAGAGGGAGAAAATAAACAGTGTGTGTGTGTCACAGTTATTTTACGGAAACAGTTTTAGGAAGCACATCTGGACCGAGAGACGGACGGAGAGCAGAGAAGAGGAAGGTTCCTGGATGAAAATAGCCGGCTCTTGTGAAAAATCCCCTTCCAGTCTTTTGCCAGATTGTTAGTCATGAACCCCTGGAGGATGACTAACCATAACCAGAGACTGTGTAAACTAGTGACCCTGTTTCCTCCAGTGTCCGACGTGAAGGGATTCCTGTCTGGATCAGAGCAGCTCCAGAATAATGAGTAAAAGAGGATTTTTGATGCATTATTTACTTATATTATATAGCCTATAGATACAGGAAAACAGAGGAAAGGAAGTTACACATTGCTTACAGCAGTGAGAGGTGTTGGGCAACCAGATGATTGACAGTTCCGGATGGGAGGAGCAGGAAGTGACGTACGCACACGTGTGTGTGTGTGTGTGTGTGTGTGTGTGTGTGTGTGTGTGTGTGTGTGTGTGTGTGTGTGTGAGGCGGATGGGCCACAAACAGAAAGTATGCGAGAGATGTGAACTATCTGAGAGAGGGAATATAAACACAAGTCTGTGTTTGATTATAGGGAGCTTAATGCTCGACTGTCACGATGAAATATGTAGCCTAGATACATTAACTTTGTCAGCCGTTTTTCCACATTTATACGGGATAGATATGTGAGGGAAATATATAGATATATAAAAATATATATATATATTCGAAAAACACATTTGTGCCAGACACGTATGAATAATTAATGATCCACAATGTTTACCTGCAGCCAGACACGATGTGAGATCATGATGACGATTTTTTTTATATATTTATTGACGGCAATAGTAATGGTTTATATGAATTAAGATGACGCTAGTTTTCCCCACATATTTTTTCTGCTTGGTGACGACAATAAATATATACATATAATTTAAATAAATAAATAAATAAATAAATAATAACACTAAATCTGGTCACTTTGGCTATTGGCTCGCGCCATCTAGTGGTCACACGGCGGAACTGTCTGACAGGAGTGGTTATGTTTACTAAAAATCGTGTTTAACTTTTAAAAAACATAACTGGATAACTCAATAAGTGTACATTTATGTAATTTAATCAATTACATTTAATAAGAACCGCTGTCATCAAGACGTTTAACGTGTATTTCAGTTAAATATCTAGAGCGCGCGTCGGTCTGTTGCTATGGCGACGGCGCTTACTTGCGTTCTCGCTGAGCAAGTTTGAGTGACGCGTCCAGTTCGTGTGCGCGCATTTAGCAGCGCTGCTAGTGTGTTTGTGTGTGTGTGTTTAACAGCACAAACCGCCACCATGAGCCTGAATAAACATCAACTGAGTGATTCTTTATTTATCTGGGTAAGATATAAACCCATTCCTTTCACTTACTGTTGTATTTAGAGTGTGTTTGCCTGTATTAAATGAGAATGAAGTAGTTTGTTTGTGTGTAGCGCGCTAGCCTGTTAGCAGCAGGTGGAATCTTCTCAGACTTTATGGATTTTATTGTATGAATCGCTGTTTTCTGTGGATTATTATACACTCGTAAAATCAGTCAGGCTGTTTTTTTAGCGCTTTATACGTTTTGTGTTTGGTGTGTTGAACTCATTATGTAACTGATCAAAGGTCTTAAAACGAGTTTAGAGCAGATTATAAGAGTTCAAAACAACTTAGACCTACGATAACCTCCGATTTAATCAATATATCCTCGTCAAATTTAGTTTTTCAAAGTATTTTCATGTTTATTTGACCCAAATAACTCCGTAGACCCTGCTATTATTACTTTAAACTGTCCAGTAGATCATAAAGACATTAACATTTCAGAAATGTGATTGTTCTCCAGTTTTCCAGGGTTTTTCAAAAATGTGATGAACACTCATCTAAATATTTTTAATATATAAAGACCCTATTTATAATGGTTCAAATAAATATGTACAATTTTATTTGGAAAATATTCAGTTTCTACTTACTATAGTGTTGTGCCATGTATTATTTATTTGCATATTTTAATCATTTTTTATCGTTTAATCAATTTTATTACATTTTATTTTAATCATTTTTTTTAATTATTTTCGTCTATTTGTATTATTTATTCATTTTAATGTATTTATTTGGTTTAATCTTATATTTAAAAAAGAAATATATATATATATATATAGACTCTAAACAGAACACCAGTTTTAAACTCTGTCTAGTGTTTGTGTTCATGTCTAATTTCTGTCCTGACTTCTGTGTGTGTGTGTGTGTTTCAGCTGCAGACGTTTCAGGTGCCGTCGTGTGCGAGCAAACATGAGCTGACCAGTGGAGTGGCCATCGCACATGTGCTCAACAAAATGTGAGTGTGTGTGTGTTCACGTCATTAGATGTGGGTGTGACTTTCTGCAAATATTTGTGATGGAACGTCAAATATTCCTCTGAAAGCTGATCTGACAGATGCGCTGGACGTCCGATACACTGTTAATCCACCAACACACACATGCACATCTGACAATGTCGAATATGACAGCTGCTCATGTCTTCATGTTAAATAAATAATTGTCATTTACTCTCATTCAAGAACGCTATTTACCAAGTGTTACGTCAGAAAAAAGACTAAAACAAGATATTGTAGTCATTAATATTCCCTCATGCTGGTGTAAATCAGGATAGATGCTAAACATCGTGTTTCTGATCTGTGTTTTTCTGTTTTGCCAGAGACCCATCGTGGTTTAATGAAACGTGGCTCAGCAGGATAAAAGAGGAGGGTGGCACAAACTGGAGGCTGAAGGTATTGTACTCTAGTTTTACTCTGTGTCTCTGCTCAGACAGTATATATACAGTGTGTTCGTGTGTCTCAGTGAACGTGTGTGTGTGTGCTCGACAGGTCAGCAACCTCAAGAAGATTCTTCAGAGCATGATGGAGTATTATCATGACGTGAGTCTTTGTGTGATTTAAGTCTGTGTTAAAGCGTCTTTCATTTGAGACGTTAAACTAGAGGTTTTACACACTCGCACAGACACGCACTCACAGACACTCACAGACACGCATAGACACACACACACACACACACACTCATATACACACACACACACACACACACACACACACATACAGACAGCCCCACACGCACACAGACACACACACACACACACACACACACACACAGACAGACAGATACAAGTACACACACATACACTCACAGACAGACACATAAACTCACACTCACACAGACACAAATTCACACACTCACAAATTCAGACAGACACAGACACATACACACACACAGTCACACATACACTCACAGACAGACACAAACACACACACACACAGACACATATACAGACACACACACACACACACACACACACACACACACACACACACACACACACACACACACACACACACACACACACACACACACACACACACACACATACAGACAGCCCCACACGCACACACACAGACAGACAGATACAAACACACACACATACACTCACAGACAGACACATAAACTCACCTCACACAGACACAAATTCACACACTCACAAATTCAGACAGACACAGACACACAGACACACACACTTACACAAATACACATACACACAGTCACACATACACTCACAGACAGACACATAAACACACACACACACACACACACACACACACACACACACACACACACACACACACACACACACACACACACACAGTCACATTCTCACACACACACACACACACACACACACACAGTCACATTCTCACACACACACACATACACACTCACACAGACACATACACACTCGCACAAATACACACACTCGCACAAATACACACACTCGCACAAATACACACACTCGCACAAATACACACACACACACACACTCACACACACACTCACACACACACACACACTCACTCACACACAGACACACACACACTCTCTCACACACAGACACACACACACACACTCTCTCACACACACATTTACATAGGGGTCTCAATAACTGTTCTTCCTTTTTATGTTTTTTACAATGCGTTCAATTCAACCTCTAATAGAGTTATATTAACTTATTAAATAAATTGTTATATTATATAAATTGTCGTGTGTGTGTGTGTCAGGTGTTGAGTCAGCAAGTGTCCGAAGAGCACGTCCCGGACGTGTGTCTGATCGGTGAGATGGGGGACGTGACTGAACTGGGCCGGTTGCTGCAGCTGGTTCTGGGCTGCGCCGTCAGCTGCGATCACAAACAAGGTACACACCCAAACACTCACAGAGTCATGTGATCAGTCATGTGACCTTCACTGAGAACGGAGAACACAAACTGAGAGGAGATTAAAGCAAAACCCCCACTGACAGCGTGAACGGAGGCTCAGAGACGGACGAGCACATTGGGAGATCATTAGATGAGGGAATGATGGGAAAAACCGGAGGGATGAAGTTCCCATAGTGTGGTCAGGGTTCCACACGGTGCTTACAGTACTCGAATTTAACTTTGGAAATTTAAGGCCGAGAAGACCCTTGAAAACAGCCTTGTTTACGAAGAGGTACTTAAAAAGTTCTTGACTTATTTAAATACAATATATATGAAATTTAATTTTTTAGAAAAAAACCCCCACAAATACAATCTTTTCACGCCAAATTATCACTGCAGCCCGTCTGATAAACAAGTATGCCAACATTATAATATAAAATAAAATTTATTGAACAATAATAGCCATTATAAATGTAATATAGTATTTATTAAATGCGTTGTAAGTTGTATTTTAAACTAACTAAAATCTGTAATAAAAAAAAAAAAAAAAATCCTAAAGATATTGTTTGATAAGTGTGATCTCTGATTGTAGTCCTTGAAAACCATAAAAGTAGTGCTTAAAGTCCTTGAAAGTCCTGTAATTTCTGTAATTACAGTATCTGTCCGAAGACGCCGTTCACACGTGTTATCAACATCCGGTTATGGAACGGTTTGTAGTGCGATTAAGCTATTTTAAAGTTATATTTAGAAACCAATACTAAAGGTCAAAGGTGTCGTTTAGATAGATATTGACCAATATTGAGTTTTTTAATCAATTATTTGCATGTTTATGTGCCCGATAACCGATATACAGAACAGATATTTGTTTTTTGTTTTCTGTTTTTGACAATTATAACAACAGCACTTTTAACAAAACAAACTGTTTTATTTCACACTTTTTAAACACGGTCATTTCTGCAATATCACTCCCTCCTTACATGCAAAACAAAACACACTTCTACATCAGTAAATAGTCTGAAAGAGTGCAAAAGAATTAAAAATATAGTGCACTGTCACTAAAGTGTGTTTTTTGTAAATAAAATATTTAAGGTAAACAAACAGGTAATGAATATAGCATGTGAAAGTAATTCTAAAAGCATGAAACATTCTGAATAATAATAATAATAAAAAACATTGCAATTGTAAAACCTTCACATTAAATCTCCACAGTAATGTTGAACCAACATAAAGACGGTGTCAGTAAACTGAGCGCCCACATACAGGTACAGTAAACTTCATAACCTGTTAGTTGATGAAAACACAACGTGATGCACTTACTGACGAAGATGTGGCCAAAACACAGATGTCAGAAATCCACTAGTCAAAATCTTCCAACTCCTTTTTTAGTAAAATGTTAATAATATAAGTAACAACACATGCAAGTGTCTGATTATATATAAAGCCACAATATCAACTTTTGACAACACAGTGTTTAATTATATTAAAAAAAGTGTGTTTTTTCCATTTCCTGAAAAGTAGTTTTTGGACATGTGAAGTTTCCACCCGATAGTGACGATATATGCATTATAATCAATTCATCACTCTAATACAATATTCAATTAAACTGGTTCGCAAAAAACAGAATGGAAAGTAGACTTGGACCTAGTAGCACACATATATATTTAAATCATTTCTAGTGATGCACGATTATAGGTCGACCGATTCATCAATTTTACCGATATATCGGTACCGATAGTTGATTGGTGGAACTATCGTTATCGGCATAAATCCACACTGATAGTTTTTCCGGGTTGCTGGAGCGCTGAGAGGACTATGCTGTCATTACACAGAACAAGAGCGCTGAGAAGTGTGTGCTGTCATTCAGAGCCGATCAGCCCTATACACACACTACGCAAGCTGCGTACGGCCCTGCATATTACTCAAGGGCCCGCCTCCCCCTCGTGTCAAAGCGCGTCAATCAAAGTTTACAACATCGATGAGAAAATTAAAACTATCCTTCTGGTCACGAAAAGAGAATAAAACACCATGAGAGTGAATTGCGGGAACAGCGATCAGGCAGAGTTGTGTTCTCTCCTCTCCAAGTGTAAGGTCAGCACAGAACAGTGAAGTTAAGCTGATGTCCATCTCTCTCTGTCTGTCTAACCCAGCTGGGCATCTTTTGGCCTTTCTGTGTTTGTCTTGCTAATGCCGGCCACTTCCAGGGCTTTGAGGGCTGTGTTCACGAACACCGTTGCCCTTTGTCGTTTATCAATCGTAATAGTTGTATTTCATTCTCACTTTTTTTTGTCAGGCACAAAGTCACAGAACACAGCCCTCAATATGAATGCGCATCCCTCAGTAAATAATTAACCATCAAGTATTGCTTATAACAAACTATCACTGCAATGACTTTTCAGATGCACATTTAAAACACCGACAGCGAAACAGTTTGAATACAGAACACTAAAGCACATTGCCATATCATTATAAAGTACTTCATTTGTTGACTAGATGCTGCGTTAGCAGAGAAAGAACAGCAGTGTGTTTGCCAGACGACTCTAACATCAAGCGGTTAAAACAATGTGACAAACACACCCAAACCTGAAAAATATTAAATGTCGTAATTGTTACATCTATTTGCATTAGTTTATTTCCACCTGGTCAGTTTTATGCATTCATTAGCCGGGGAAGTTGCATATTTAAAGCTAGTGACGTGATTGCTTTCTCAACATTGTTCATGCAGCCGACAGAAACATTAACAAATCAGAAACGCATTCGATTCTATTATTTTTTTTATCACTGCCGTACATATTGTTATTTTGATTAGATAATCATCATGTGTTCTAATATAGAAGCAAATAAAGTGAGAGACTATACATGTAATATTAATTTATGCTCTGGCCTATGCAGATATTTAAAGATGGCCATTTTAAGCATAGCAGACTCTTTGGATTTATATGAAATGGTAACACTTTACAATAAGATTACATTTTTAGCATTAACTAAGGTTAACAAATGTTGTAGTATTGTGCATTGTAAGTTTGTTAATTTCAACATTTACTTATACATTTTAAATTGAGTTTTCATTTTTATTTTATCTGTTAACCTTAGTTAATGTACTATGAACTAACATGAATGATCAAGGTACAATTGTCTTGCTCAAATATGAATACATTCTGTAAAAAAAATGTATATTGAATAATGCACATGCTAGTTCATGAAAGCTAGCTAATACATCCTTGTTAACAAATGGGACTTGCAAAGTGTTACCTATGAAATTTACGTATGTTTCTAGGTTATAGCTAAAGAAACCTGTAATATTTTAATGTTTAAAGTATTTTCTGTAGAATTTGTTCTGTAGAACTTCTCATTTAGATATAAATTCATATTAATTTCATATAGCACATTTCAGTTCAGCACTGTTTTGCTTGGAGTCTTATGTTTTTTTATATATATATCCAATATCCATTTTATATCCACTATCCATTTTTATAAAAATATCGGTTGATTAATCGGTTATCGGCACGCACGGTCAAACCTAAATATCGGTAAAATCCACTATCGGCCGACCTCTATGCACGATAAATCGGCCACCATATCGGTATCGGCTGATATATGTTCATTTTTAATGTTATCGTTATTGGTCGGATAAGAAAATTTGGCCGATATATTGAAGCCGATAAATAATGGATTATTTCCTTCAGCTGAGACTCTTCCGCACTGTTCAACATGATGCTTTTTATCTGCTTGAAATATGATTGAAATCACTTAAATAAAAAAAACGAAGAATACAGTAAAGTGCAAAATGTTCTGTCATATCGGCTACATAAAATTATAACAAGAATGATGGCTTTAAATTGTGAGACTTTTGTTTTTGTAATCAGGCTCTCAAAAAATATCAAAAAATTTGGATGTAGATTTATCTGCCAATATATCGGTTATCGTCTTTGAAATATAAAGAATTATCGGTTATCGGTATCGGCCAAAATGTTCATATTTGTGCATCCCTAATAATTTTATATTTTTAAGATTTGATTCATGTCATTCTACCCCAGTGCAGTTATTGTTTACTGAACCTCAATATTCGATGTATATTTCCTGGTTGAATCTGGATGCATGACTTCATAAGGTGTTATGTGTATTAATCTCCGAATGATTTGAACAAAATGAAGCTGTAAAATAGCATTTATTAGTGTGACAGATGTCATAACTCTGCTGTGGTTGTGTTCACAGAGCACATTCAGCAGATCATGACGCTGGAGGAGTCAGTGCAGCACGTGGTGATGGCGGCCATACAAGAGGTATTCAGTCTCTGTGCCGCAATAAAACTGATAAAACGGGACTCATCCTACTCAAAATAACACTGTGTTCAGTTATTAATTATTTTACTGATAATGCAGAAACATGTTAAAACACTTCAGTGAGAGCTGAGAATCTGAGGGAGTTTTTGCTAATGCTATCTTATGTCAGCTAGCTAGTAGCATTAAAGACCATAATTTGGTTTTCTGATGTGAAAATATGTTCGACACAAACCCAGACTGAACTATTTCTTAATTCATAATCATTTTGGATAATCAATTCTAATCATTCCTTTAAAAGTAGACTGCTTTCAAATACCGGTGTTTGCTTTGAATCAAGTGTTTAATTGCTGAGATTCATCCGGTTGGCACTCAGGACTAACTCATTTTTTATTAAGTCTATGGAAATCTGTGTGGACTTTTTTTTTTTTTTTTTTTTTTTCTCTGCACAATTTGAGCCCTCATTCATGGCAAAGTTTTGTCCAGAAGAAGAAATTCCTGTTTTCATATGAAATATTTTAATATTAAAATACTTTGTATTATATTATTATTATTATATGTATGTAATTTTATATATCATATTGTAGTTGTATTAAATTATATAGCCAGAAGCCAATTAAATAATAATTATGATAAATCACGATTAATTTAGTTTATAACATATTATAGAAATAGTTTTCATATCATATTATTAATATATAACGTACACTTGATACTATAATTTAGTTATGTAGTGTTATATAGAATATACTGTGTTATATTTGTATGGATATATTGAGCTAGAAGCCAATAAAGTAATAATTATTTGATTAATTATGTTTCATTTCTAGTATAATATAGATGAAATTTTATTATTAATTACAATTAATTTAATTCATGAAATAATATAGAAATAATATTTATATCATATTAATGTAATTACATAAACATAATTTTATAATATTATTATATTTAACATAATATTATATAGAAATATAATATTGTATTTGTATGAAATTATATAGTCAATAAAATAATAATTATCAATTGCTTTGTAACATAATATAGAAATAGTTTTCATATCATATTATTAATATATTGAATAAACTTAATGCAATAATATGGTTATTTATATAGTATTAAATATAATATAATAATGTATTATTATGAATATGGATATTTTTTATGAATATAGCCAATTAAGTAATTATTTATGATCAATTACAATTAAGTTAATTTATGATATAGTCTAGAAATAATATTCATGTCAGCGAATATTTTAACATTACATATTTTAACATTTACATTATTAATGTAATATTACATAAATATAATACTATAATTGTATAGTATATAGTATGTATATAATATGATATAGAAATATAATATTGTATTTGTATGAAATTATATAGCCAGAAGCCAATAAAATAATTATTTATGATACATTGCGATTAATTTTGTTTATAACATAATATAGAAATATTATTCATATAATATTATTAATATATTAAAAACGTTATCCTATTATATTATTATTTATAGTATTAAATACAATATAATAATGTATTTCTTTGAATATTGATATAGCCAATGAAATGGTAATTATTTATGATTACGATAAATTTGATTTATAATATGATGTAGAATATGATTTATTTCAATGAATTTCATTTATGATATAATATAGAAATAATAGAATATTTTAACATTTACATTATTAATGTAATCTTACATAAATGTAATACTATAATTGTATAACTATATGATATAGAAATATAAAATTGTATTTGTATGAACTGATATACCCAGAAGCCAATTAAGTAATAATTATTTCTGATTGATGTCTAATATAATGCAGAAAGGTGTCTGTTAGTGTGTGTGTGTTACAGTGTGTGTTATTCTTGTGTTTTCTCTGTAACTTCCTCCCTCAGGCTTGTTTTCCTCATTCCACAGTGATGATGAATACAGTCTCTTCATTGATCTCTGTATATCTGTGAAACCTCTGGGAGAAGAGAACATGTGTATCTAAGAGCAACATGTGACTGTTGAGTGTGACTCGTTACTGTGTGTGTCTTTCAGCTGCTCACCAAAGAGCCTGTGCAGGGACCAACTCCAGAGTCGTACGGGGACTTCGACAGTCAGGTGTGTGTGTGTGTGGTGTTAGGGATCGAACAGGCTCGTGTTTTCCCTCATTATCTCACTCTCCTCTGGCTGTTTCCCTGTTCCACAGTCCAGGAAGTATTATTTTCTGAGTGAAGAGACCGACGACACGTCCCAGCGCTGCCGAGAGCTCCAGCAACAGGTGACCCGAACTAAACGCTGGTAAATGTGTTCAAGAAACCGTGTCTGAGGTAAAAGCTGAGAGGTGTGTGTGTGTTTCAGCTGTCGGTTCTGACAGAGGAGAAGTCCTCTCTGCAGCTGGAGGTCCAGTCTCTGCGGGAGCGTCTGACCCACTGCGAGCCGACCGACGTCTCCTCCACCATCACCAACAAGAAGCTTCTGCTCCTGCAGAGTCAGATGGAGCAGCTGCAGGAGGAGAACTACAGGTGTGAGGCCCCTCGTGCAGCTCCGCCACGGGGCTCAGTAGCTCCACCACGGGGCTCAGTAGCTCCACCACAGGGCTCACTTCACACTGATCCTCCACACTGATCCTCCACATCTGACTCAGAGTTACGGTCTGAACTACGAGAAGCGTACAGAACATAACTTTTCATGTGAAAATACAAATTCAAGTTTTAAATTATTCGATTGTGCTAGATTAGTCATGTAGACACATAACGTATCATTAATCTTTCATAATTAATCACAATTATTATTATTGTTAATTATTATTGTCATTGTTGTTTTTATTATTTATAATATGAATTATTTGTTCGTGGTAGATTAGTCATGTAGACAAATAACCTGGCATTAATCATAATTAATCATTAGTAGTTAATCATTCCATTTCAATTATTATTTTCATTTTTATTTATATAATTTTTGTGCTAGATTGTAGAAAAAAACATTCGTTACACAAAACGTCATTAATCAATTATTATCTTTTATTACTACTATTAATGTTGTTTTGGTAGTAATGATTGATTGATAATATTAATTTTATTATTTATATAATAATCATACAGTATGTAGTTTTTAATTCATTTAATTTTATATTATCTAGCATTTGCATATTATAAACTAAATTGTTTATCAAAATAAATAAATTGTACTATTGTTCTTTATTTATACAATATCCATTCATACAAATACAATATTATATTTCTATGTAATATATTGAACAATTAAATATAAACTATAATATATGTAATATTTTAGTTATTATATGGTATAATATGTTATTTCCATATTATATATAAACGTATTCATAGTCAATCATTAATTACTTAATTGCATCCTGGCTTCATCCATTCATACAAATACAATATTATATTTCTATATAATAATAAATAACTAAAATATTGTAGCATTGTTTATTTAATATTATATTAACAATAAGGTATTAAGTGTTTAAGTTTTATAAAATTAAAATGAATCAGAAATAACTTGCTTAATTGGCTCCTGGGTATATTGGTTCATATAAATACAATATTATAATATTATAGTATATAATATTACATTAATAATATTATGATATTAATATTCATTCTTTATTTTAAATCATATATTTCTATATGCTTTGTTACGGTGCTGTGTAACAAAACAGGACATTTTTAACATTGTGTGAATGTGAACATTAAATTAACTCATAGCGCTTGTTTTATCACCACTAAAACGGACCAGAATGAGATCTCTCTCAGTCCACTTTCAAATCCAGATCCAGTGTGAATGCAAAGACTGCCGGGTCCTTTTGCTCTTTCAGCCTTGATATCATATAAGCATCAGTGATATGAGATGTTAAATGTTAAAACACGTGATTCATTAATACTAACAATTTCTTTTCTCTTCTATTTCTATATGTATTAAAAAATAATAATAATTATATATACTGCGTTAGACTAAACTGGGAAAGACTTGTAAGTCGCTTTGAATAAAAGCGTCTGCTAAATGATTAAATTTAAATGTAAAACGACATTATTCGTCATAATTATTACATTTGTGCCCAAGCCGAGAGCCTGACTCGTGTGTCTGGTTGTGTGTGTGTTCAGGCTGGAGAGCGGTCGAGATGACCAGCGCGTGCGAGCAGACGTTCTGGAGCGAGAGGTGACGGATCTGCAGCTGAGGAACGAGGAGCTCACCAGCCTCGCTCAGGAGGCCCAGTCCCTCAAAGACGAGATGGACATCCTCAGGTCAGAGGCGGAGACACGAAGGGCCCTATTTTAACGATCTAAGCACATGGTCTAAAGCAAGTGCACTCAGGGCGAGTCCGAATCCACTTTTGCTAGTTTAACGACGGGAAAAATTGTCGGCGCTCCCGGTGCATGGTCTAAAATGGCTGTCCCTATTCTCTAAATGAGTAACGGGTGTGTTTTGGGCGTAACGTGCAATAAACCAATCAGAGTCTCATCTCCTATTCCCTTTAAAAGTCAGTTGCGCTCGCGCCATGACGGATTCGCTATTTACATGGAGGAATTTACAAGAGTAAAAACTGAACACTTCTCTAGCGAGGAAACGGATCTGCTCGTGCGCGAGGTTAAAGCGAGCAGAGCATCTGTGGGACAAAATGCATTACTAATGCGCTCTTTAAATTCCAAAAAAAATATTGCGGCATTGACCAACTGAAACCTGGTCTAAAGTCAATGGTGCAGTTATTTTTTGGGGTATTTAAAGAGCGTGTTAGTAATTACAGGGTTCCCGCGGATCCTTAAAAAGTCTTAAATTAGATTTTTAAAATTTAAGGCCATAAAAAGTCTTAAGTCTTATTTTTACTTATGAAAGGTCTTAAATTTTAGATGACACTTTGACTTAAACATATTTAAAAGCTTTCCAAATTAAAACCATCTAATTAGCGTACGTATTTTTATTTATTTATTATTCTATCTTTGTGGATTTGCTAGTTCACGTGACATTTCGCGTCACTCGCGAGTCGCGGCAGCATAACTGTCTCCTGCACGCGAGAGGAGAGAAGGAGAAGAAAGGTCGTAAATGTCAGTTCAGTTGTAAGTTCATTCTTTATGTGCGTATGGTGTGCGATGTGTATTGTCTATTATGATATTGTAATCATTGTTTTAACAATGTACGAGGCACTGCGAGCTGACATCGCATTTGTCTCTCGTGCTTTCACTGCGTGATGTGTGCAGTGTAACTGTTATGTCCCCAAGTTAGTTTTTGTCTTATATTTATATCATATTATGTTCTTATATTAGAATATCACATCAGCAAGAGTGCCGTTTTCCCGTGCACAATTCCAATTGTGATATTTATGTTATACAACAGTTAAATTAACAATAAGTTAACATTGAGTTACTTTTTAGACACAATATTGTCAATATTGTTTGTTTTCCCTTTATTTCGCCGACTATAATTTCAAAATGAAACCGTAGTGAGTCTCAATGCAACCGACAGCGATTATTTCTTGACTGAAATCCGTGTTTTGAACGAATCACTTGCTTCTTTCCCGAATGAATCAGCCGTTTGAACGAATCGGTTGAATGAATGACTCCCTCAACTCACTTATTAAGACAGTGATTTGCCGCTGCGGTTTCATATTTAAAGTACCCTTTAAATAAAATGTTAAAATTAGAAATCATTTCATATTTAAATATTGAATATTGATTTAAAAAATATATATCTCATAGCTTTATTTATGCAGTTGTAAATGGAGTGTAAATATATTAATGCCACTTCTGATGCCGCTTCTGTCACCTCTGCACTGCAAAGATGGATTTTGATTGAATGATTTAATTTGACTGTAACAGTGGTACTGTATGATTATTATATAATTAAGTATTATTGTATAATTACTGTATAATTTAATTTGAATGATAGTATTTGACATTAAAGGTGATGCATAACTCTAAATAAGTTTAGAAAAAATGTCCATATATAGGTGAAAATGCCCCTGAAAAAATCAATTTAAGGTGGCAAATATTGCCCCTTAATTAAAATATTAATTTATGTCACTGCTGTGAACTGACCACTGCATAGAATATGAAAAATATGAATATCTTCGTGAGTCAGCTGTCAACAACAGACCTAAACCAGCCATGGCACCAGCACAAAAACACAATCAGTAAAATATCATCTAATTATTATCAACAAAACGTTGAAAATATCAAGATATATTTTTGTCAATACTGCACAGCCCTAATGTACGGTATTAATTTTGATTTCTTCAGGTCTTAAAAAGGTCTTAAAAAGCCTTGACTTTTGACTTTCAAAAGTGTGCAGGAACCCTGTAATTAGTAGTAAGCCCAAAACGCTGTCTATTCCAGTCTATTGCCTCAAAATAGCAACTCGCCATCAATGCGCCTGAACACACCTTGTTTTCAGACCAGCTGATGCCCATGGGCGCAAATGCATTTGCTATTTAAACAACGTGGCGCAGGACGTGAAAATGATAACTGCGTCGGGCTGAAACTAGCGCCTGACACTGCATTGCCGAGTGATTCTTCCTTCAGTCGTTGATGGCTCGTGTTTGTGCTTCAGGCACTCGTCTGACCGCGTGAGCCGCCTGGAGGCAATGGTGGACACGTACAAGCGCAAGCTGGAGGATCTGGGGGATCTGCGGCGGCAGGTGCGCCTGCTGGAGGAGAGGAACCACGTGTACATGCAGCGCACCTGCGAGCTGGAGGAGGAGCAGCGCAGGGCCAACACCATCCGCTCGCAGCTCGACTCCTACAAGAGACAGGTGAGCATATTGATGATGATTATGATTATTATTTTAGTAATCGAGTATTCAACCGATTATTCCATCGAATATATAGTCCTATCCCTAACCTTAACTTATCCCTAAAATCAGAGGGGAAATGATAGGTTAATAGAAGCACCTAACCCTGCTTGTAAGCCTTAACTTGACAGAAACTGTAAACTTGACACCCTAAGGTCTCATGGACTTAACGGACGCGCGCGTAAAATGTAATTTTTAAATTACAACTGCAACTATGCGAAGTAAATAAATGCTATGAAAGTGTGGAAAACAAACATACATAAACTGTGGTAGTACCATAGAAAAGAGATTGTATCAGATGTTAAATATTTAAATATATACCATGGTACTGAATGATACATATTCATACACCATTGTGTATTATTCCATCGATTAATCGAGTACTTGGATAAAAAATTGTGGTAATAAAAAAAGCACCAAGTGAACAACAGCCTTTGAAAAAGTGCAACATAAGACTAACGTCAAAACTAACTTAAGCTGGACAATAACTTTATTCTAGAGTTGCTGTAAAGCAGGGTATCCGCGGGTCCTTAAAAAGTCTTAAAAAGTCTTAAATTAGATTTTAAAAATGTATGGCCTTAAAAAGTCTTATTTTGACTTATGAAAGGTCTTAAATTTTCAATGGCAATTTGAGTTAGACATATCTAAATGTTTTCCAAATTAAAACTATCTAATTAGCGTACTTTTTTATTTACTATTCGTTCTTTGTGGATTTGCTCGTTCACGTGACATTTCGCGTCACATTCGCGCCAGCATTACGTCTGTCTCCTGCACGCGAAACAGCAGGAGAGGAGAAGAAAGCTGGTTAATTTCAGTTCAATTGTAAGTTCATTCTTTATGTGCGTAGTGGTGTGCGATGTGTATTGTCTATTATGATATTGTAATCATTGTTTTACTTTAACGTTAACTATGTACGAGGGCGCACTGCGAGCTGACATCGCATTTGTCTCTCATGCTTGCTTTCACTGCGTGATGTGTCAGTGCAGTTATAGGTATGTTCCCTAATAGACGTATAAAGTTTTGTATTTTATATATCATATGTTGTTATCATACAATATTACATCAGCAAGAGGGCTGTTTTCCCGTGCACAATAGCAAATATGATATTTATTTTATATACCAGTTAAATTAACATTGTTACATTTTATAAACAATATAGTCAATATTGTTTGTTTTCCCTTTATTTCGCTGACGAGAATTTCAAAATGAAACCGTAGCAGAGTCTCAATGCAAAAGACAGCGATGATTTCTTGACTGAAATCCGCGTTTTGAACGAATCATTTTAACGATTCAATGAACAATCACTTGCAGTTCCTGAATGAATCAGCCGTTTGAACAAATCGTTTGAATGAATGACTCCCTGAGACAGTGACTTGCCGCCACCTACTGGCGGGTTTAGTTTCACATTAAGTACCCTGTAATTAAAATGTTACAATTAGAAATCAGTTCATATTTAAATATTGAATTAAGAATTGAAAGAATTGAATATATCATAGCTTTATTTATGCAATTGTAAATGGAGTATAAATATATTAATGCCAGTTCTGATGCTGCTTCTGTGTCTCCTCTGCACTGCAAAGATGGATTTTGATTTAATGATTTAATATAACTGGTAACAGTGGTATTGTGTTATTATTCTAATATAATTTAATTTGAATGTTAGAATTTGACATAAAAGGTGATGCATACCTCTAAGTAAAAAAAAAGAAAAAAAGTCCATATATGGGTGAAAATGCCCCTGGAACTCAATTTAAGGTGGCAAATATTGCCCTTTAATAAAAAAAATTTAATTCCTTTCACTGCTGTGAACTGACCACTGCATAGAATATGAAAAATATGAATATCTTCGTGAGTCAGCTGTCAACAACAGGCCTAAACCAGCCATGGTACCAGTACACAAACACAATCAGTAAAATATCATCTAATTATCATCAACAAAACTTTTTTCAGTTTTTTTTCAATATTGCGCACCCCTAATGTAAGGTATTAATTTTGATTTCTTCAGGTCTTAAAAAGGTCTTAAAAAACCTTAAATTTGACTTTAAAAAGTGTGCAGATACCCTGTAAAGCCAAAACAATCTGTTACTGTAATTTCCTATTATCACTGTAAAGCTGCTTTGAAACAATCTATATTGTTAAAGCGCTATATAAATGAAGGTGACTTAAAATGACTTAAAATACAAATATATAATAACAATCAATAATAATTAGTTCAAATAAATTATCAATGTAAGTAATCAAATGGGTTTTGCTGAACAACACTGTTAAAATAAACCATGTAAAATAAATGATATAAATAATATAATCATAACTTATGTATATAACGTATTATAATGAATGCCTACAGAGGGCGCCAACGGCCTGGTGATGTTTTTTGTTGCACTACGCCGGCATGATCAAATCCTTGTTTAATTTTGGCCAAACAACATTTAATTCAAATGACTACTTAGTCTTTAATATTTGGTCACTTCTGTACGATAGAAATGCAACATCCGCTGTAATTTCTTGAACAAGAACATGTGCGCAACTGCGCATCAAAACATGCAAACTCAGGGCAAGGGTTTAAAACCTTTATTTGGAAACCACGATGAACAACAATTAGCATTTAGAAACATATTTATGTATTCTCCTGTGTTGGCGTAGATTTACAAATGAGTTGCGTTACAAATCTTGTGAAATGGTGCACACTGCGTTCCCAGATGAACGTAATAAGCAACACAAACTCGGTTACTCGACACGGGTTGCAATCGAGCATTTTTTTTTAATCGAGTACTCGACTTTAATCGAGGAATGGTGACAGCCCTGGACACGGGCTGATGTGTACTAGAGTTCAGGAAACAGCTGGACAGATGAAGGAATGACGAGTGTTTCCTTTCGTCAGGCTCACGAGATGAGCGCCAAACACTCGGCCGAGGCCATGAAAGCAGAGAGGTGGCAGTTTGAGTACAAGAACCTCAACGACAAATATGAGACCCTTCTGAAAGAGAGAGAGGTACAGAACTGACCGCTCGCATCTGATGAGATTCACTCTGTGTGATTATGAAAATGACTCTTACAGTAGCGCTGTGTGTGTGTGTGTGATGTAGAAGCTGATATCTGAGCGAGACACGCTGAGAGACACGACTGACGAGCTGAGATGTGCTCAAGTGCAGCAGCAGTGTTTAACAGGTCACACTCACACACATCACACACTTTCAGACACACACACACACACACACACACACACACTTACTCTTACACACACACTCTCTCTCTCTCTTACACACATTCACTCACACACACACACACACCATCATAACCTGATAGCATGTACCAGCAAAGCCCCGCCCCCTCTCTCACTCTGTCATCCAATCAGCTCTGTCCCTGACTGTGTGTGTGTGTGTGTGTAGATTCTCTGAGTGGAGATTCAGGAGCGTTTGGCAGCCTGGCATCAGAAATCATGCCAACAGAGTTCAGGTGAGCGCTAGCCACTGTTAACACATCAGAAACAGTGTTGTGCTAACTTTAAAATAAAACTTGTTATTTACTAATCATTTTTGCAAGAAATGTCATATAATTTTTTTTAATTCTAAATATTTAAATAGAAAATTTTATATTAATAATTTATATTTTAAATATATAAAACATTATTTACCTATATGTTCCCAGTTATTGTAATATCATTAAGGTACTATTGTAGTTTATTATAATTTATTTTTATATTTTCATTTTCAATTTAGTTTGTTTCAAGTCTCTGTAGTTTTTATGAATTTATTTCAGTTTTAGTTATGCTACATCAAATAAAACTAAAGGACAATGAGAAATGTTGCTTTGGCAACTAAAAATAGTTATTTTAAAAATAAAGTAAGTGTTTTTTTATACATTTCATTTAAAGTTTACTTTTAACCAATTTATTTTATTGTTGTAGTTGATTAAATAACTAATAACTGTTGAATTTGCAAAAATATTTAGTTAAATACTATGATTTTAATAATTATACTATATAAATATGAGGGTTTTCACACTTAATTATTTATATATATATATGTGTGTGTATATATATAAAATATAAAAAAATAAAATTGAAAGGAATTTTCAGTTTCTTTTTCCAGCTAAATGAAAACTTTCATCGGTTTCATCACTAATATTTAGTCTAAAATGTTCCTTTTGGGATCCAGATTTTGTACCAAACAAATACCACTGATTTATGAATTACATCATTTTTATAAACTAAGTTTTCACCTGACTGAACATGTTCAATCACTCTCTGTAGGAGCAGTTTGAACATGACAGATATGTTTCATTAAATTCTAAATCCAACGGGCAGCTTGTTGGCTGATTGTTTCCTTATCCTGCATATGAAGGTGTGTGTCTGTGTGTGTCAGGGATACGGTTGTGCGTCTGCAGCAGGAGAATAAGATGCTGTGTGTTCAGGAGGAGTCGTACAGACACCGACTGGAGGAGCTGCAGACTCAGCTGGAGGAGTCACAGCGCTGCCAGAACACACTGGAGACTCACAACAGGTGTGTGTGTGTGTGTGTGAGAGAGAGATCAGGATCGAGCATGCTAGTCTTTATGAGCAAGTCATCATTAAACCATACACTTAAAAACGCTGATTGTTTATGAATTAAACAAGGTGTCGAAATGAATTTAACATCACATGAGCCACTCAAGGCGATTTTTTTCACAAATATGTGACTTGCGACGTGCGATATGTTGATTATCGCGACAGGCATGATTTTTAAGAATTAATCTGAACTTTTGAGTGGTAGTGTACATCATCATTTGGTGTGTGTCTGTGTGTGTCAGGTTGAGTCAGCAGCAGATCTCAGAGCTGGTTTCTCAGATCGAGGAGCTGCAGAGAGCTTTACAGGAGCAGGACAGCAAAACTGAGGACGTCAGTCACACACACACACACACACACACACACACACACACACACACACACACACACACACACACACACTCACACACACAGAGACCATACCTGACTGAACTCATTGAAGCCAATCATTCCTCACATCATGATTGTGTTCAAGCTAAAATTACTCAACTGAAGTTGAGTTCAAATCCACACACACAACGCTGCTGCTGTCTGATGGACGATCCGCCTCCTGTCAAATCCCAATGAAAGTCCTCCATTGTTTCCTATCAAACACTCAGTTTCCTTCAGAAACATCTCATCACGGATGTTAAAGGGGTCATCGGATGCCCATTTTCCACAAGTTGGTAGGATTCTTTAGGGTCTTCGTGTTTTTTGTTTAAAATTCCTCAATGGTTGTGTAAAACAACACCCTTTTACCTCCTCAAGAACAGCTCTCGGTGCACAATCCGTTTCGGTGCATGTCTCTTTAAATGATGATGAGCAACTGCTCACGGGACAGTCCGTCAGCGGTCGTGGGCGGAGCATTAGCACTACGACATCATATTGCTCAAATCTAAACTGCTTGATTATTGAGTGTTTAGGCTTTTTGAGGATTAAAAAAAAGGAGTGATTGGATTTTTTCATCGTATGGTGGTTGTATGTCCACACACTGCAGACACATCTATATGCAAACACCATCAAGGGGTCATTTTGCATCCAACGACCCCTTTAAATGTGCGGTGAACGGAGGATTCGGGGGCGTATCTCCTCAGACAGCACTGACTGAGTGATCTCCATCTGCTTGTGATTTATGTAATGATCACCTGATCCCGATGCAAATCCACAGTGTTTCTCGTAAAAAAATCTCACTGTCTCTGTTTGCTTGATTCATGTGTGGAATCTGTAACTTGTTTTGTTTGCGGTGCTGAAATTAACGCCTGCTCGTCTGTTTTTATCCGCCCACTTCTCCTAATCGACCAATCATCCGCCGCCTCAGGTCATCGTAAGTACTGCCCGTCTGCTCTCTGATTGGACACTGATTGTTACTGTTGTAAACGTGCTGTGATGGACACACACTATCATCTGGCGCTGTCTCACGTGTTTGTTTCTTTCCCGACAGTCGTCGCTGTTAAAGAAGAAGCTGGAGGAGCATCTGTGAGTAAGCATAGATAATGTCTCTTATCTTTGCTCATCAAATGTGTGTTTTAATGTGTGTGTGTGTGTGTGTGTTTTCTGCAGAGAGAAGCTCCACGAGGCTCACACTGACCTGCAGAAGAAGCGAGAGGTCATCGATGATCTAGAGCCGCCTGCGGACAGTAACAGTGAGTGAACACAAAGGTCAAAGGTCATTCTGATTATCAGCTCTCAGATGCTCTCGTACACGACACGACTGATATACAGTCAAACCAACATTTATTCAGACACCTTCAACATTTCTCACATTATCACAGTTTATGAACTATAGTTTAGAAAATGGTAATTGAATATGACAAGAAGGTGTTGTCCGTCCTTCTGTTAGACGGAACACAGATGAATTATGTTGAATATCTGTCAGCTGATAAATTTAACTACACAATTACATAATACCAGTTTAGCTCAACCAGTGACCAAGCAATGCTTCATTCTGTTCAGTCTGTGTGTAAAAACAGCATTAGCAATAAATAAAACACACTTAAACACTATCAGGTCAAAGTGTCGGAATAATATTTGGTCCCAAATGTGTATACATTTTACTGGTAGTCACTGTAGGAAGAATTTCTGGGTATAATATGTGACAGTTTACTTTATTTTCCTCTCCTCACTCACATAAATGAACTATAGTGTCCTGCACACACTAGTAAACAAATATATAAATTATATCTGGTATCGGAATAATTTTTGGTTTGATTGTATATGTATTTCGCTCTAAGAATATGTCAAATGCAGTCCAGGGACTTCTGGGAATGCTTTTGATTTGAAGCAGTTCATTGATTCATTTGAACAGATCAGTTCATTCAGATGATTCGTTCGGGAGAGTCCGGACAGACTGGAGTGTGTTTGAATCGTTTGCATCAGTTCATTAAAATGTGACGACGAGCAGTGGTTTTAATCGGGAAGGAGTGTTTTTGAGGACCGTTCTTATGGAAACGTGTGTGTGTGTGTGTGTGTGTGTGTCAGTGGCGAAGAAGGTCGATGAGCTGCAGGAGATCCTGAAGAAGAAGGATGAAGACATGAGACGAATGGAGGAGAGATACAAGAGATACGTGGACAAAGCTCGCACGGTCAGTTCACCTCATCTTTACTCAGGATGCTTATATATATATATATATACACACACACACAAACTCATAACAATTTACATGTTGTGTGTGTGTGTTTCAGGTGATTAAGACTCTAGATCCAAAGAAAAAGAGTAACACGGTTCCTGTTGAAGTTCAGGCCCTGAAGAACCAGCTGACAGAGAAAGACAGGAGGATACAACATATGGAGGTCACACACTCTCACTCACTTATACACACACACAGACACTAACACTCATACACTCTCTCTCACACTATTGGTCTGTTTTACTATGGTAATGATTGTCTTGTTCTGTGTGTGTGTGTGTGTGTGTTTTCAGCATGATTTTGAGAAGAGTCGCTCCAGACACGACCAGGAGGAGAAGCTCATCATCTCGGCCTGGTACAACATGGTAAGAATATTCCAGATCAGTCACAACAGCTCGTGTCCAGTCGTGTTTTACTACTATTTAAATACTAGTATAGCTTTTATTGATATATTTGGTTACACTTAACATTACATTACAATACTACATTTGTATATGGGACCTTATTGTTAAGTGTTACCAAAATATTCATTAACTAACATTATTAACTAACACTGAGCAATATATTTCTTACAGTATTTATTCATCTTTAACATGAACATTGCTCATTGTTAGTTCTAATTAACATTTAATAAGAAATGCTTTAGAATTTTTCAATGTAGTACTTATGTTGAAAACCTTGTTGTAAAGAGTTACCAGTATTTACCAGGCTTTAATTTGTATATTTTCAGTTTAATTTTTTTGTAATTTTGTTGTGTACTTTTTTCATCTTTCCAGTCTATTAAGGTCTAGTTTAGTTTTAGTTTTAGATTAGTTTCAGTTTTTGTTAACTATAACAAAGTGGGAATTCCGCGAAACAAAGTCGGAATTGCTTTTCTATTCCGTGGTGGAAACTAACGTCCATAGGGCAAGTTGAAATAATTAGTCTAACTCAACAGCACTTCACTATGGAAGCTTGTTTCCACCACTGAATAAAATAAATAAATAATAATTGCGACTTTTTATCTTACAATTGCGAGTTATGAAGTCAGATTTGTGAGAAATAGTCGCAATTGCGAGAGAAAAAAAGACAGAATTGACTTTCTCACAATTCTGACTTTTTTTTTCTCACAATTGCGAGTTTTCATCTCGCAATTCTGACTTCATAACATAATTGCGAGTTTATATTTCGAGACTGACATCTTTTCTCAGAACTGTGAGATAAAAACTCGCAATTGCGAGTTATGAGGCCAAAAAGAAAAAAAGACTGACTTTTTTCCCCTCAGAATAGTTTATATCTCACATTTCTGACCTTACAACACGCAATTCTGACTTTATATCTCGCAATTCTGACTTTATATCTCGCAATTCTGACTTTATATCACGCAATTCTGACTTTATATCTCGCAATTCTGACTTTATATCTCGCAATTCTGACTTTATATCTCGCAATTCTGACTTTATATCTCGCAATTCTGACTTTATATCTCGCAATTCTGACTTTATATCTCGCAATTCTGACTTTATAACACGCAATTCTGACTTTATAACACGCAATTCTGACTTTATAACCTGCAATTCTGACTTTATAACCTGCAGTTCTGACTTTATATCTCGCAATTGCGACTTTATATCAATCAATTCTGACTTTATATCTCGCAATTCTGACTTTATATCACGCAATTCTGACTTTATATCTTGCAATTCTGACTTTATATCACGCAATTCTGACTTTATATCACGCAATTCTGACTTTATATCACGCAATTCTGACTTTATATCACGCAATTCTGACTTTATATCTTGCAATTCTGACTTTTTTATCACGCAATTACGACTTTATATCACGCAGTTCTGACTTTATATCACGCAATTGCGACTTTATATCACGCAATTCTGACTTTATATCTCGCAATTCTGACTTTATATCACGCAATTCTGACTTTATATCTCGCAATTGGGAGAAAAAGTCAGAATTGTGAGCTAAAAAGTCGCAATTACCTTTTTTATTTTTCATTCTGTGGGGGAAACAAGCTTCCAAACTTCACAGATATGCTGCATGTTGTGCATTTAATATTCGACTGGAGCTCTACAATCCCGCTGTTCCTGTCATTAACCGGCCGCTCTCCGTCTCTGTGATCCTCAGGGAATGGCTCTTCACCAGAAGGTTGCCGGGGAGCGATCCGGCTCAGGTTCGGCTCAGTCCTTCCTGGCCCAGCAGAGACAGTCGACACACGCGCGCAGAGGCCTGGCCCGTCTGCAGCCCAGATGAACACACACACACACACACACACACACACACACGACAGTTGCCTAATCCTGACTTCTCTTTCAGCACTTTGTGATCGTCCTGCTGAGAACGTAGATTATGATTATTTTATCATCTTTTAGATCAAGTTTTGTTTATTTTTAGCTGACCCAAGCGTCAGTATGTAGTTGTGTCTTATTTTAGTGTTAGTTGGGCTGGAGGAACGAACGGGGTTTATTGAAGTAGATCAAAGTTTTGATTTTTTTTAATGATGTTTTGAGGGTTTTATTAATGTTGTACGGTAGCTTTCTGTGTTCATCAGGGTAACAGTGCATGTGTGAATGCACTTAAAACACACTCAGTGCCTTCAATCATCCATCCTCTGACAGCTGTCAATCATCTGTGTGACAACTCATCACAAACCAAACTCAATGCTGGATGCCTTGAATGCATTGAACAAATGAAGTGCTTTTTATATGAATAATTCTCATTTAATCATAGTTTGATTATGTGTCTGATTAAATGTGAATGTGGAGCTGGAAACGACACTAATCTGAGATGAACTGCTGGAGGATTTTCTACCCGCACATGTTGTCATTTGCATGTGAAAACTGTTGCTGCTTTGCCATTTTTATAATGGTTGTTTTTTAACTTCACCAAAGTCTGCTGCTGAAGGACGGATCCTGTAGCTTCTATTTATTGATCTTCACTACTGTATGTTCAGAAACACTACTGATCTCACCCTTATCAGTCCAAACACAGGTTTGCTCCTCACTTCAGAGGTACGGTCTCCAGATGTGTGTGTGTTCTGCAGTTTTCCACTGTTTTTTTTTTTTGTTGCTCTGAATGTTCAGTCACAGAGATGATGTTCTGTTTGTGTTTTATCACAGTGTTTTCATTGTTCGGTCATGTTGTCGGTGTTGGACTGATGGGGTCGGTACATAAATAAATCACTTTAATCTCACTGTCCTTCTCTTTGCACTACAATAAACGAGATCATTGGTACAAACATAATCCGTTTTTGTGTGAGTTCATTGTTAAAGGGATACTCTACCGTATTTTCATATTAAACTATATTATTCCCTTAACTAAGACTAGTTGATGATCGTCTCAGTGCGTGCATTCAATCGCTCTGGCGCGCGAGACACTTTGATAGAGGGCCACTAAGAAACGGTAACAGAAAAATAATACAAAAGTATATAGCCTATGTATCTATCTTGAGTATTACTAGAAAGCTATACAGGCAAGAGAGTTTATCAGGGTTGGAGCTAAACTTTGCAGGACAGTATAGGCCCTCCAGGACTGAGTTTTCCCATCCCTGACTTAAATATTCACTTAATTATCTCATTGCAACGCTGTGTCAATAGCCGCGTTTCCATTACAGATTTGCGCAAAACTTTTGCGATTTTTTCTAAATATCTATTGCGAAATGACGGCGTTTCCATTAACCGATAGTGCGACTTTGGGCGTTTGTAGGTTTATAGCACATGTGAATAGACGTGCAGCCACCGCACTAGACATTATTATTATAAATGGAAGGAGACGTGGTGTGTTATCCAAGCATTAATGGTAGCCTAAGGAAAGATCCTAATACTGTGAACGGCACATGAGGTGTTTCTGTGTGTTTCTCCCTCATTTCTGCTCCAAGGTCTTGATTGTGGCATTTCTTTGAGGTTTAGAATCTAGTATTCCTGCAATTCTTTTTTCTTTTATGAATTTAATTAAGAACTTTGTCTCGTATTCTGTCCAAACGGTCCGTGTACTTTTGCGTCCATTTATTTTTCCTTTTTTAACCCATAGCCTAATTGAAAAACGAAAAATGAACGGTTGTTGTATTTTTAAAGCGCAAAGTTGAACAACAAATTTTGAATTTGAACTGTAGCCTACTACACACCAATGCTGCGCAAAAAAAAAATATAGACGAATTTTCAGATTTTTGTTTATGACTTTTTTTGCCCCTTTATTAAACATTTAAAATATTCACAAATTAATATGAAAAAAATTGATTTTACTGGTTTTCTAAGGCCAAATTAGAACCCGATGATATTTTTCCTGCAGTGCTGAATAAGAAGAGCCATGTCTCTGGAACCATAGCCTACAGAGAGGTGATTTATAGGTGATTATAGGCTAATGATAATAAATGTGTCTGAAAAAATAACGAGGCATTTTAATTGTTTATTAATAAACTAGTGTTAGTGGCGACTGCAAACATATTTTTATCTCCACTGTAAAGCGGATGCGCCTTTAGAGAGAAATGCACCTTTCATATGGATTACATAATCAGAAGGTATTTGCTTTCGATTGGAATTTGTTCGTTTAAAAGTGGGCATTTCAAGCTTTAGCCTACATAGGCTATATTTTGTTTCAGTTCATTTCTGAGACGTGTTCCAGTTCACGGAGATCATGAAAGCGCGCCTGATTGTTTTCTTTTATTTTGCAAAAGAAGAACGTTTTCTTGTTATTGTGAGTTTACACAAATAAAAGTAGTTGCGGATTATGTATTATTATTTTCTGTATGACCATACATGATAGAGTATTTTAATTTGTTTCCACTGTTGACAGGAAAATGCAAGTGTTCGCCCGCGCCTCCGTCATGCAGTGCGCGCTCCACTCTCCACACAAACCCTTGGATATGCGTCAAAATCTTGTGTTTATTTGTGATAATCTTAGCCCTGTATTATTATTGTCTAACCTGTATTATGAATGACATTTGACGAATTGCTTTGTTCCTTTTTTGGATAAAAGCGTCTTCTAAATATGTAGCCTAATAAATGTATAGGCTATAATAATAATAATTATTATTATTTGCGTTTATAACTAAAATGACTTCACTTAAAGGTGCTCTACGTAACTTTTAGCGGCCTCTAGTGGTGATGTTTCAGATTGCAACCAAATTTTACAAGAGCGCTCGAACTCATAGACAATACCGTCTATTACGCAAATATCTCGGCGAATACTTGACGGATTCGGCGAGCACCGAGCTCGTTGGGACCATCTAGTCGAGCTGAAAAGAACCATATAAGTTCCATAGTTTTTGGTGGTGTTTTCGCGGAGATATTAGCAGAAAACCATCGGGCGCGCTGCAAAATTGCGGACGCCGGTGACGTCACGATCTCAGAAGAAAATCGCTCGTATCTCTGGAACGCAAAGACCCAGAGAGCTCAAATTCGGAGGAGGAGGTCCCAGGGGAACCCTTGCCCGAACGCTAGAGTGGCGGGCCTCGGGGATGCCCCCTACCGGATCGCCGTTCGCTGGGACCCCCGATTTCGAACGGCTATAACTCGGGGAGCCGGGCGAGTTGGACCTCGGGGGTGGGCTCGTTCGAAAGGCCCCGTCCAGCACTACGAACGATTAGAGTCTTGGGAATATTGATCAAAGATTGACTGAGATATAAGCCGAAAAACGTGCGCCTTTAACCGGACGTAACTCCCTGACCGTCTACAATAGACTGTAAGGAGAGAGGCTCGGGAGCGCGCATGCACGTCACATCCGTTGGATTTCGCGGTAAATCCGACCCGGAGACTTCACATAGAAATAGGAATACTGGCCTTCAGAGGTTATAGCAAAACTCGACAAGTGGATCATTTTAATGTGTGATTACAACCCCTTCACACACAGGCAATAAAAAAAGGATTCATTTTAGTAGAAAAGTTGGTAACACTTTAGATTACAGCCCGGAAAGTACTGCGTAATTAAAGCGATTTTACAGCTTAACTTTTGGTAATTATAGTGTACCTATAACGTACTTACAAAGTATAAGGGAACAATATTTTAGGTTTGGGGAATAAAGGGGTAACAACAAGGAGAATTATTTATACTGTAAGTATTATAGAACTAAGGGGAACTTATTCTACTATTATGATACAACAATCTTACATTTGGGAGCAATTTAGCGAGAACATACACTGCGTAGCTACCTTTTTGAAATAATGGTGAACCAGTACATACGCTATAGGCTTTTTAAAAATTACAGGGTACATATCTATGCATTTATAATGTAATCTTTTTAACACAATTGCACTGAAAACGAAAACTATTGCAACTTTTGCTTAAATATTGGGGAAAGATACTCTTGTGTCATGTAGTGGTGCTTGTTACCCCCTTGTTCCATGTAGTTACAGGGTAAGTGTGACGTTGCGGGCTGTAAATGAAAGAGGTGCTTGTTACCCTCTTGTTCCATGTAGTTACAGGGTAAGTAAAATAAAAATGCATACACACAATCTTATATCACTGACTCAGAAACCTTTATTTATTATACAAGCACCACTTACCCTGTAACCACATGAAACCAGATATATTTGCCAGTATTTTAAAAAAAATGCAATAGTCTTAGCTTTTCTTGTCTTGAAACATGTTAGCCCAAACTTAAACATCTGCACTTTTGCTATCAAAAAAAAAAAACACAATTATTACAAAAAGGTACGCAGTGTATGTTCGCCGCTAAAATGCTCCCAAATGTAAGATTGTTAATAGTAGAATAAGTACCCCCTAGTTCTATAATACTTACAGAATATTTTTTTTTTTTAATTCTCCTGATTGTTACCCCTTTATTCCCCAAACTTTACATATTGTTCCCTTATACTTACATGCAAGTACATTATAGGTACACTATAATTACCGCAAGTTACACTGTAAATTCCTCTTAATTACACAGTACTTTTCGTGCTGTAATCTAAAGCGTTACCGAAAAGTTACATAGAGCACCTTTAAGACAGTAATATGTTTATCATAAAATAATTGATGAATGTATTATTTTTATATAACCTTTTACAGTTTTGGAAAATGAGTTTGTGTTATATTTATTTATTTATTTTTCATCTGCGCTCTCTGCCTGGGACTCGAGCACGCAGAACTCGCCCTCGCGGATGGAGGAGAGCCTGCCGTTGTCGTCCCTGCGGGCACGACTTCTGGCAGCAAAATCCGCTCCCGCGCCGCCCCCCCAAAAAAGGACTTTAAAGAGACAAGTACCGGGCTAAATGTCGTTTTTTTTAGAAAATTCAAGAAATTACGAAGAACTGATATTTACAAACCTGAGAGCGCGGATTAGGATATCGTGGGTATAGGCCTACAGTTTATTAATCCGTGGGCACGATTTGTTAAACCGATCGAAGGAACAGTTTGTACTCAACCGTGAGTAGGCCTACGGTTTATAAACTTGAGGGGACAGATTGCAAAACCGTCGCCACAGATTTTTTTTCATTTAGGCTATTTTATTTTTTCACAGACGCTCCATATTATCTAAATGTTCCGGGTCAAAATGAAATGCAGAAATCAAATTTCGCAAAGTTGTAGGCCTATGTCAATTAGGCCTATTTTTAGGCTATATAAGGAAAATAAGTTTGTATGTGAATATTTTTTCACCAGTCTAAAAACTAATAAAGAAGAAAGCATGTTTTTCGTTTTTCATACAAGTTAAAGGAAAAACGAATGGACGCAATAGCCTACACGGACCCCAAACACACGCGCCTTCTAAGTCAGGTGACTGTAATTGCGCAAAACTGTTTCCATTGCAGTTTTGCGAAATATTCCTTTTTCGAATTGCCTGAAAAACCACCTCATGCGAGCGTAAAAACGTTTTTGCGATAAATCTGAGTTTTTGCGAAATTGACGTGTTTCCATTGAGCGTATTTTTAATTCGCAATTTCAATTTGCGCAATCTGAAGGGTAATGGAAATGCGGCTAGTGTTACTTTTACTCTTTGTAGTGTGGACACTACAGGATTTCCCTCTGGTGTTGAAAGGGTTAAAGGTGTAAGATAAAGACACACCCACGAAATGGATTTTAACAGTAATAAACTGTACGCTAAAAAAACAGTTATATACTGGCAAAACTATTGCCTGTAGTTTACCTTAATATATATATTTTTTGTGGGCCACCATTGTGCTGAAGAGTTGAGCATGTGCTTCAGTCCAGGAGAAGACCATATGCAGTCACTGTAAGTTAAAAATGTAAATTTCGACAGTCCTGTTGGAGCTTAATAAGTAGTTGTAGACTGTAAACAGGTTTTATTTCAG